CGAAGAGGTGCCTGCAATCGCCAGAGGATCAGGACGAGGACCGCGGCGCCACGGGTCGCCTAATGAGCGCAAATTTGATAACGCAGGGCTCAAGGCTGCATGGAAGCTCAAGATTATACAATCACAGGGCTCAGGGCTGTGAGGGAGAACTTGGTGTCGCAGCGGTCTCCTGCGGGTCTCCCTTGGTTTCGCAGCGTCCCCCTGCGGAGGCTCTTGATGTCGCGGAGGTCCCACGGAGCACATTTATACAACACAGGGCTCATTGGCTGTGAGGGAGCGCATTTATACAACACAGGGCTCATTGGCTGTGAGGGAGCGCATTTGTACAACACAGGGCTCATTGGCTGTGAGGGAGCGCATTTATACAACACAGGGCTCATTGGCCGTGAGGGAGCGCATTTGTACAACACAGGGCTCATTGGCTGTGAGGGAGCGCATTTGTACAACACAGGGCTCATTGGCTGTGAGGGAGCGCATTTGTACAACACAGGGCTCATTGGCTGTGAGGGAGCGCACTCTTACAATCGCAGGGCTCATTGCTGCGAGGGAGAACTTGTTGATGCAGCACTCTCCTGCGGGTCTCAATTGGTAACGCAGAGCTTATCCTGCGAAGAACACTTGATATCGCAGAGCTTATCCTGCTAAGAACACTTGATATCGCAGATCTTATCCTGCGAAGAACACTTGATATCGCAGATCTTATCCTGCGAAGCACACTTGGTAACGCAGAGCTTATCCTGCGAAGAACACTTGATATCGCAGAGCTTATCCTGCGAAGCACACTTGGTAACGCAGAGCTTATCCTGCGAAGAACACTTGATATCGCAGATCTTATCCTGCGAAGCACACTTGATAACGCAGAGCTTATCCTGCGAAGAATACTTGATATCGCAGAGCTTATCCTGCGAAGCACACTTGGTAACGCAGAGCTTATCCTGCGAAGAACACTTGATATCGCAGATCTTATCCTGCGAAGCACACTTGATAACGCAGAGCTTATCCTGCGAAGAATACTTGATATCGCAGAGCTTATCCTGCGAAGCACACTTGGTAACGCAGAGCTTATCCTGCGAAGAACACTTGATAACGCAGAGCTTATTCTGCGAAGAATACTTGATATCGCAGAGCTTATCCTGCGAAGCACACTTGGTAACGCAGAGCTTATCCTGCGAAGAAAACCCGACTGCCCGGGAGTGTGAGGAGGAAAGTCCTGCTTTTCTTTTCGACGGGAAAAGAGCGTCTTTTATGTCATTTCGGATACGTCCTTCGGCAGCGACCACTTGCGTACATTTTGGCGGACCCAGAGATTTCCACTCGACATTCGCACCGGGCGGTCGCATTTTCGCTGGCCATTGAGGCTGTTTATCAACGTTGAAATAAGAAATTTCAAGAGTTAGGGGCGGAGAGCGGGTGGAGTGGCACCCCCACCCGGACCCTTGGTTCTCCTGGGTCTAGGCCTGACAAATAAAATGCCTCAACGTTGTTGATAAAGGTGAAACAACCTCAACTTGGCTGACAAGTTCGAAAGAATGACCTGCCTCTGGTAAATCGACTGACCATACCATCAAACTTGTGCTTGTAGACTTTTCCAATGTATCTTTGTGCATGCATGCTCTAAACTTTGGCGATGCTTACACCCCCACCATTTTGTCTGGCGATAAACGTTGAGTAATGCCTTGGCTCTACAATAGATGACTGCCTGAACGCTCCACCCTATCCATCTTTTCTGCGGTGAACATTCCCGGCGAAAAATATGAGTAATATGATAGTTCCACGGCTTGCTTGAAAAAGGTCCGAAACTAACTTAAATAACTCAGTGTATAACAACTCGGTACTTTTCCAGGAGAAAAGCCAACATTTTATTCTTCCAAAAGCCTCCCAGTCTTATTTTCAAGCCTTTTTTTCGTCGTTACAACCTTGAAGATGACAGAACGTGCCTCTGAATCATCTGCTCCCCGATTCAGCGAATATCGGGCTCGATTGACCAAGGCGCTGGAAGACGAAAGTTCGACAGAGGAAAGTACTTGTCAGGAAGATGCGATCACACGCCGACATAGATCGTCCACCGTGAAAAAGACGAAAAGAGATGGTAAACGAGCTGACAGGGGTGGTGAATCTGGAAACAGCGGCGGACGCGATACTTTATCTAAGTCATGGAAAAAGAGAAAGGCAGTTGACAACTTATCGTTTGGGCGGCATAGAAATGCAAGTCCTGTCATCGAACTGTTAGTTGATATTCCTACCTCTATGCCCTGTAATTTGCGTTCTTTACTAACAAATTATGCTAGCACTGACGATCGATTCAAGTGAGTGTACCGGAGACGTCTATTTGAAGTCCAGAGCAACACTGACAGAAATATATAGAGAATTAGAAAGCAAGGCAACGAAGCGCCTGCTCAAGAGGAAACTTGCTTCTGAGATCGAAAGCCTCAGAACGGAGATAGAAGACATGAAAAAGGCAGTTGCGTGTCTTAAACCATCTTTGGATGCGCAGCGGAAAAGAAAACAAGTTTCGTTTGAGGACAGTGCCCGCTAAAGAGCTCAATCAAGCCAGGCAAGTATAATGCAGCCACTGCAATTACTGTCCAGTACCTTGTGCTAGAATAGACAATTTCACTCCTTAGACCATGCACCGGGCTGGAAGCTTGACACGTAAAGCTCTCACGCTTGTATGGCAGTCTTTCGCCCTTCGTTCATTAAACACCGACAATCTCCTCTCCGTTCAAATTATCCCTGTAAACCGACATAGGGCTTCTAATCTCTTCCTTAGCAGCAAGATTGAGGCCATTCCCGCCGCGTTTGAATAATTTCTTCTAGGTTCAAAGGAACAGTGGAAGGGTGATCAAAAAAATTAAAGGGGCTTTAACCGGAATCAGCAACTCCGATAGTACCCTGTAGCTTTCGTAGAGACTCTGCGCATGAGGTTTAAACCTACGAGGGTATCTACCGGAAGGTAAATAGGCGTAGAAGCGAAAAAAGTCAGAAGCAGAAAGAGAACCTTGAATCCCGTCGCAGCAACTGTGCTCAACTGTCCGAGATATCGCGTCAGATCACAGTTTGAGATTATTCCCAGGATCGCATTGGCTGTGTTGTGGGCAGCATTACTGGTCCTCAGAATCATTGCTGACAGCCACTGCCGCTTGAGTCTCCAGCTCCCCAGCAAAAGGCTTGCGAACCCAGACGCGCTTCCTATGAAATGGTCAATAAATCGATGAGAGCATATGGAAGCGTTTTTGTCGCAATACATTCTATGATAGATATGAAAGCGAGACTTTGGAAGTTCTTTTCTTAGCTTTGAGGTATAAAACTGTACTTCTTCCATTGACCATGGAATCGGAGATCCATATTTTGTCAGAAGAAACGAATGGCGCAAGTTCTGAACAGTGGGATATTTTCACGGTATTGCCCGGACAAGATCTTCGATCGTTTCCTAGCTATGAATTTGAAGAGCTTGTGCAGCTCCAGCGCCTCGGAGCATGTCCAACCAACGGCCGGAGACTGTGATTGAAGCCATTTTTGAACAAATTGGAAGGCGGAATGCTCGAGGTGGCGTTGCAGGGTTCGGAGGATCATATGTTGTGTTCGAGAAGGGATAGATATCATTTGCAGTCCTAGCATGGGGGAAAAAATCTCTATAATCTCTATCGATTGTAATTAACGAAGGCACTCTAGTCTCTTATTTAAGCTTACCCTTAGCTTTCAGTCCCCGGCATTGTTCTCAAAAGCGTTTTAGAGACCTGAAACAAGAAACACGTCAATTGGAGAACAGACTGGTCTTCAGGGAGTCTGGAGGGTGCTTTACCGATAGCTAATCAATTGTAGAGACGGATTCTGGGCGGCAACGGGGTCTCGGTCGGGGCGCGACGAAAGCATATTCCGACGACAGAGGCGGCGTCGACATCTCTCCATCGATGGTACCTCTGTCGTCTGTGGGTGTGGGCACACAAAGTACCCTGGTCCTCCTGTACTGGTAAGTGATATAAGGATATGGACGACATGGCCTTGCAGTGAATGCGACTCGCAGCGGAAAACGCGTTGGCAAGGCTGGGGGAAGCTTCTTTTTTTTCTCACAGAGGGGTGGGCAAAGATTTTGCGGACAAAAGTTTCAGTGAGTAAGCTAGCGATTTGCCAAGGCGATTTTTCCATGGAACGACTCTACGAATTGGCTGCGCAAAACCGTTTCATTCTCGTTGAGCAATGTTGAGACCTATGATTCGCAAATCGATTGGCCACGGTGCAAGCGAATACTGGCAGTCTTCTGAAGCTACGGGAAATTAGGCTGCCACGGCGAGTGGCCCATGGAATGCCATTTCGATTTAAACCTCATAATAAGGAAATTGAAGGCCGTTTCACCTAGTCACCAACGTTGATGAGGCGAATGACTTGTCACGCATGGCTTCGTGCCAACCACGGCGCCAGGTGGATCCAGCCACTCCACCCGCTCTCCACTCCAAACGCTTGAAATTTCTTATTTCAACGTTGAATCAACCGCCTCAACGCCCAGCAAAAGTGCGCCCGCCTGGTACGAATGTCGACTGGAAATCTCTGGGTCCGGCAGGATGTACGCAAGTGGTCGCTGCCGAAAAACGTATTCGGAATGGCATAAAAAGACGATCCTTTCCCGTCGAAAAGGAAAGCAGGACTTTCCTCCTCACACTCCCGAGCCACTCGGGTGTTCTTCGCAGGATAAAATCTGCGTTAGCAAGAAGTCTTCGCAGGACAGGCCCCGCGTAATCAAGTCTGCCTCGCAGGGGGACGCTGCGTTACCAATTGAGACCCGTAGGAGAGTGCTGCGTCAACAAGTTCTCCCTTACAGCCAATGAGCCCTGTGTTGTATAAATGCGCTTCCTCACAGCCCATGAGCCCTGTGACTGTAATAAGGTCCGCTGCTGATCGACCTCGTATTAATTGCTCGTACGCAAGCTCTGCGTTTGCCTGGAGGGTCTCCTTCAGGCTTGATTTCCATTGAGCAAAGAATTCCGGAGAAAGAGCCAGAAAATTCAAAATTTTCTTATCATGTTCTTGAGAACTGGACACCATGAATATAGGCTGTGCTTCTTTCGGAGTAATTTCCACTTCATTTCTAGCTGGTTGTGGTACCGCATCGCTGCGGTCTGATGTTGTCTCTCTTTCTCTTTATCTACGCCACACATTGGAGACGGTTGTGGACAGAACTCTGGCTCGACATTTACAAACATGTTCTCAATATTCTCGACATCAAACCAATCATATTTCCCTTCCTCGTCGCGGTTCTGCGGCGGATTAGGAGAATTGCGTCTGGGCCGTTCAGCAACATTCAAAGGGGCGGTACGACTTGTTCGGTTTGACTCTGCCAGAAGCTCTGCGGAAGTTTTTCCCAAAGTCGGTGGCGAGTTTGCCTTCCAAGGTCTTCGGATCTCAGTTGAGCCCGATGTATATTCTTCGCTTTTCCGTTTTGTCCCACGCTCCTCGTGAGGATCTTTACGTGTTGCAGCATCCTCGGTCCAAGATGGATGCTGCTCTCCAGAGTCCGTTATCGATGATGCGGAGGTCAAAGGGCCGATCGCCCCTGTAAGGTCAATCGACCCAACAGTGTCAAAGGGTGGCGTAATGAGCTTGCGACCACCGAAACGGTGTGATATTTGGTTGAGAAAATACTGGCGACGTTTCCAGGTAGGATTCTATTCGAGGGGTTTTCTTGTTAGTCTTCAACTCATCTACTTCATCCATGGTAGCCATAATCGTACCCCGAACCATGCTCCTTAAGCAAGATGGCCTTTTGGAAGTTGAAGGCGTTCTGTCTGGCTTTTTGACGGAGTGACTGAGCATTCGAGGTCTACGCTCAGCAGACGGCGTAAGCATTAGTCGTGCCATGGTCTCATCTGGCACATTGTTGGCGCCACTCCAGAATCTCATCCAGTATCTCGCTTTCGTCTGCTGAGGGTCGTTGAGAAGCACGACTGGGGTTTTCAATCGGGATTCCGATCAACGGAATGTACAGGGAGATGCTGGTTTAAGGGGCTATTTGAGATGCATGGCATGTTAAGTTCTGTCGGGTGAGCGTACTGTGCGCATAATTTTTCGTTGCTGTCTACGGACTCATCACGTTGGGGCGACGTGATGAACAGGCTGCAGGCATTGTGACGTGAGCGGTCAGAACTGATGTGGAGCCTTTTGTTTAATGCAATGGATGGATCATGGATGGGTGCACCGTGCAAGAACTCCATCAAAATCCAGGATATCAAGACCGGCCAACGGCAACTAGCAAATCTCGCATCACAACCACTCGACTTCTCGACTTTACAACCCGCGTTATGTGATATCGCGAGGAACTTTTGTTCTTCAAAGGCTGGCCACGGTGCAGTTTGCTCGTCTTCTGCTAGCTTGGAAAGAGTAGATTAGATTAGAAAAAAAGAGCGGTTTCCTTGCAAAAAGGCCTGGCGAGAGGGATAACACCATCGCGATCAATATCTTCACCGCGACCAGTGGCAACTCGCATCAAAGTTCTAAGATTCATGCGTAGAGTAGCTCGCTACGCAGCGCTTTCAAACCCTCGCCACTTTTCTTCGTTACCTCCACGGACATGGCAGAGCGGCAATATAACTATGCCCAAATCACCATAAGTGCCAGATGATGCCATAGCCCGCTTGTAAGCAAAAACAAATCTGTCAAGATTGGCAGACTTGAAGCTATTGTCGGGGGTGCTTCACATTAATCCCTCCGAGTTACTGTTAGCGTGTCGATATCTGGCTGACGTGGGCGAGGCAGATGCCAGGTCAAGTGCAGTGGAGGGCGAGAAGTGCGAGAACTCGTTATTGTTAAAAAGCTGCTCGGTTGATGAGGTCGTTACAAACGCGGCTCATGTGCCAGGGCTCGAAGCCAAACAACTGAAATAGAGGCATCGTATCAAGATCTTTGGACACACGGTTCTTCGTGTCGCGGTGCTGCTCGTGACGAACGTCTGCCACCATCTATCGATTGGATCATCTGGTGGATGACTTCCATCGCTTAGCGGAAGTCATACGGGCTTGCACCCCAAGGAAATAAATAAGAAATAACACAAAGTTGAAAATATGTGAACATGCTGTAATCCGTTGCGCCTGGTCCGTCTGTGAAGGCCATGTGCGGTAAGCCCAGATCCCTCCTCTTTGGGCATATTTCCGCCATCAGTAGGCTGGCAGCTAGCCTGGTACTCACATGAGAGAGAGCACTATGTCACCTTCCCCCTGAGAATGCGAGGCCCTAGCAATCCAGCCACTCGGCAGGTGTTTCTTCCGCGGTGGCCGCCTTCTTTGCACCTTCATCGGCGAGAGTGTTCCATTCACGTGGGATCTTCCAGAACTGGATGGCCAGGCCTTGGCGGTGGGCATTCTCGCACTCCCCTAGGAGCATCTCCCACAAGTCCTTGTTCTTGACGTTGACGTCGTCATTTCCCTTCTTGCCTTTCCTCGTCCAATTGTTCTGCACCCAAGTCTTCGCCCACTGTGTGGAGCCCTCCACGACGTACTCCGAGTCGGTGGCGATGACGACTGTGCTGAAGCCTTCACTCGGCCAGTGTCGGAACCGCAGGGCGGCGATGACGGCCCGCAGCTCGGCCCGGTTGCTGCTCTGGATGCCGTCATCGCCCCAAGGGCCCTGCTTTTCCAGACGACCCGAGACAACAAGCGGTTGGCCCTCAATATTCAGCCCCTGGAAAAACGCCCAACCCGCCTTCGGATTGGCTTGGCCGTTGTTGAGACATGCCCCGTCGGTCATGATGAGGAGTATAGAGTTGTCGTTTGGGTAGGTGCACCTGAGATCATGGGCCGTGGCTTAGCTGAGCACAAGAAAGCACGCGACGAAGAAAAAGCGTCTTACCTAACCATATTCATAAACCGAGCCCTGCCGCGAAACAACTCCATCGGTTGCAGGGGGCTAACGCAAAGTCCAAACTTGGAGGGGTACACCAAACCAGTGCCCCTCATCACATCGGGTCCTAGGGAAGGGACACCTATGGTGGATGGCGTGCCAACAGGAGCCAAATCGTGGTCCTCATCATCGTTCTCGTCATCCTCGAGTTCTTCGCGATGTTCACCAAGGACATCGTCCATAAAGCTGTATTCGCTGCAACATCTACTACATTGCACCAATCCGTGAGGTCCACAGACAAGACGACCGTTTGGCAGCTCACATGGGCCTTCGTCGTCGTCGCTGCTGCTGTAGTTGAGTGGGACCAGGCCTTGAGCGAGGTACCAGCCGCGAGGCATTGTGGATGTCTATTTTCTGTCTGTCTGTTGTTCTGTACGTTTGTGCCGAGGTAAGTCGCATGACCAAGTGATGGTCGGAGTGAAGAGAAAGGTCGAGAGAGTGGGGTAAAGGTTATGTCGAAGATAGTGGAGCAGTTACATACAGCTGCTTCCTATTGGTTTCCTCAGCCCCCCGCTTTTCTTTTTCCTCTGTTTGGAATTACGGGGTTCCGAGACAGCACTCACAAGTCACTCGAGTATCCCATGGTTCTTCCAAGACAAGGAAGAATAGGTTCCATCCACTTATCAACGATGAACCAACTCTGCAGATGTGCATTTAGCATACCCTCTGCCTGCCACTCATTTTATCTACAATCAATCAATTCATCCCGTTTCAGTTGGTTCCGCCTGATGCCCATTCGCCAGAGGGCATACTAGCAGATACGATTCTACATCACTCTGTTATTTTCTCTAGGCTTAGTCAATGATCTAACAGAGCGATCGACTTCCGTATCGTGCCATTTTCGATCTGTGTGACTTTCAGGCTTGGAGAACTAAAAATGGCATCTATCCCTTTCATAAGATTGGCACTGATAATTGGGGCATTGAAAGTGACTGCGAGGCTCATATTTCTTTGAAACTGATTGAATACGTCCTGGGATTCTTCCAAGGCAACGCAAAGTATTTCTTGTAGCGGTTGAAACTGCTCCAGAAGCTTTTTTCTTAGCCCCGGATAATCACCGCCAAGGCGGTGATTTAGCCTTTGATCCTTCTAGGAAACCATATAATCTGTTAGGACAATCCCCCGAGGGGTGTCCTGATACGTTAAGAATACGAGTGAAGAATGTGAGATCTGCCTGATATGGGTATGATGATATTCAGACTAATCGCTGGTCCTCCTAAGAGGATCCAGCTCCTCCTTTTCAGGGGATGCCTGTGTGCGTATGCAAGCAGGTAAGCGAGGTGATGTATCAACAAACGGCTCCGGTGGTGGATAGGCACCTCCTCCGCATCTCCTATACCTCATTATATGGTTGGCGTAACATGGAGGTGCATCTTCAAGCGCGCATAAATGTGCAGAGAAGTTATCAAGCAAAAGCAATACTCGTCTTTGCTTGCCAATATGCTTATAAAATGAGTGGAGCCATTCTTTCATAATTCCACTGCGCATCCATGCCTTCTTATTCCAACGCCAGGTACATCCAATCGCTTGGAAATTTACCCCCCGAAGGGCTCGTGGTGTCTTTGCAGTACCAATTAGCCACAAAGGAAGTCGGTCTGAACCAGTAGCATTTGTCGCAACTACTATAGTAATTCGGGCCTTATCCTTCTTTTGACCAGCATATCCATCAGTTGATAGGCCACCATTTGGCATACGACGCCAGTAAAGCCCAGTTTCATCCATATTATAGATATTCTCCTGCTTATATTGGTCACAGACTGCCTGAATAGGTTTCATCTCATCATGTATTGAGCTCGGAACGGATGCAGCTTCACCATGGAAGATGTGATATCGGAGAGAGTGACGTTGTTTGAACCGGGTAAGCCAACCATCAGAGAAAAGAGGCATTGGTAGTTTAGAATAATCCGGTATCTTTCTCCAGTATTCAATAGCTTTTAACCGAAGAAGTGGCCCTGTTATCGGAAAGCCAGCATCCTGGTGTCGCTGTTGCCATTCAAAGAGCTTATCATCCAATATAGGCCAATGCGATGCCGACGTACGCATGTTTAGACTAGCTGGACCAGTATCAAGATGCTGGTATTTAGATGAAAGGATCCTTGAGACAGTAGCCCGATCAATAAGGCGACCAAATTGGGATTGAAACCATTCAACGCAGGCTCTCTGAGAAGGTGCAGGGTGCGTTTCAGATGCATAGACGCGTAGAGCCTGTTTCTGAGCGTCAGATATGCCCTTCCTGGCACGTCTGGCGGTGGGCATCCTAGCCGAAAGAGCGACCGAATTCTGCATTTTGATTGGTATATATGTATGACTAAGCAACAGGAATTGGAGGAAAATTGTGTGCTTTAGCTGAGTGTGCCATAAGTGGTCTATTTATATGGCAGATAGTGGAAAAGTGGGTCCATCCACGAAATTCTGGTGCTATAACCGAATGTGTGCTAATTATGGGCGTGCTATAAGCGGGAGTTGACTGTACTCATATATATCTGCAGTTACTTTTTCTAAAGGAGGTTTGTTTTAGGCTTAGTCACAATGCGCCTCCCCGTAACTATATGTGAGACCCTGATCTCACCACAGGTTGGTGGCGCAATCGGCCGGCGACGACTCTCACCTCCCCGTGGTGCCGGCTGGGAACCTGCGAATGCCTTGCCCGATGGCATTAGCAGAGCTGAGAAGAGTCACACCAGCCAGCACTGTCCGCTGGCTAGGGCTACTGCTAGAGCGAGAGCTCAGGGGTCAGGACCCCTGACCCCACGCACAGGCGACAAGGGAACAATTTGAAAACCACCCGACACACGACTGCGAAACCGATCCTACAATCAGTGGACACTAGGGTCGTGGGATAGGACACCCTTGGGGTGCTCTCGGGCTGCTCTGTTGAAAGGAGGATATCGCTGGGTCAAAGATCACAGAAACGACGAAGTCAAAAACAAAACACGAACGATATGGCAGGATCCAGCATGCTTGAACCCACACAGAGAACGACGAGGTACTTTGGTTAGTAGGAGGGACAACACTGTGTTGCTTGGCTGTTCTGGGTACAGAGAGGATACAACTGGGCGAACTCCTGCGAGACACGGTCGGCCTTGCCAGAGAGATCTTGCAAGGTAGCGCGAAACGGATTTGACAATCTGCGGGGCGCAGCATATAATGGAAGCGACGGAAGGCTGGGTGGGCGGACTGCAGATACGACACTTTCTATATGGCTCGAGAGGACGGACGCGCGTGTCGGTCTACTGAGAGAATAGGATTCCGAAGATGGCCATCGAGGATAGAGTCTTTAGGGCGGCTATGGAAGTAGGCTTAAGGTGCAAACTGGTATTGACTTGCGGACCCGGCTGTGCCCCGCGAAGGATGCGGAAAAGGATCGAAGGAGACGTAAGGTGGAGGGTCTATGTAGGTAGACATGCTGCCACCTCTACAATGTATTATTAGGCTTGCTTAGCTAAGGAATACAAATCAGTACTTGCTACACGGCGTGGCGTGGCCGACGGGTCTTGAGCTTGATCAGCTTCGATGTCAAGGGGGCCTACAATGGGGTTTGCAAAGAACGACTGCTCCAGAGGATGAAAGCGCGAGGGATACCGGAGGTCGTGCTCCGGTGGGTCGAAGCGTTCTGCTCGGAGCGAACAGCGACTATCCAGATCAATGGGCAAGCATCTGAGGCCCGAAGTCTCCCACAGGCGGGGCTGCCTCAGGGATCACCCCTGTCCCCCATCCTATTCCTCTTCTTCAACGCAGATCTCGTACAACGACAGATCGACGGCCAAGGAGGAGCGATTGCCTTCGTGGATGACTTTACCGCGTGGGTGACCGGACCGACTGCGCAGAGCAACCGGAATGGTATTGAAGCGATCGTCAATGAAGCACTCGACTGGGAAAAGAGAAGTGGAGCGACCTTTGAAGCAGAGAAAACTGCCATTATACACTTCGCCCCCAAGGCCCACAAATCGGACCCGGAGCCATTCATCATTAAGGGAGAGACCGTTGAACCTAAAGACCATGTTAAGATTCTTGGCGTGATAATGGATACAAGACTCAAATACAAGGAACATGTCGCGAGAGCGGCGTCCAAAGGCCTAGAGGCAGCGATGGAGCTTCGACGACTCCGAGGTCTGTCCCCAGCGACAGCGCGGCAGCTCTTCACAGCCACCGTGGCCCCGGTGGTGGACTACGCCTCCAATGTCTGGATGCACGCTTTCAAGAACAAGAATATCGGGCCGATCAACCGGGTTCAACGAGTCGGAGCGCAGGCGATTGTAGGAACGTTCCTCACCGTTGCGACCAGCGTGGCGGAGGCCGAGGCTCACATTGCCACTGCACGACATCGGTTCTGGAGACGAGCCGTGAAGATGTGGACGGATATTCACACCCTACCAGCAACCAATCCCCTCCGCAGGAGTACAGCTCAGATCAGAAAATTCAGAAGATACCACCGGTCGCCATTGTATCAGGTCGCAGACGCGCTGAAGAGCATCGAGATGGAATCACTGGAAACTATCAATCCATTTACATTAGCGCCATGGGAGGAACGTATACACGGCGATAGACAGGATTCATCAGAGACACAGACCGAAACGGGCGGAGTCATGCGCATTGCGGTCAGCAGTTCAGCACGAAATGAGAAGGTAGGATTTGGCGTGGCGATCGAGAAGCAGCCACCTCGGTATCGTAAGCCGAGGCTGAAGACCTTCTCTGTCACACTGGGCGCAAGAGCAGAGCAGAACCCATACTCCGGCGAATTGGCAGCAATGGCATACGCACTGGGTACGCTACAGGGACTGAAACGGTGCAGGGTCACGCTGCTCACCAGCAACAAAGCGGCGGGACTCACACTGAGGAATCCTCGACAGCAGTCAGGCCAGGAACACATCTGCCAGATATACAAGTTGACCCAAAGACTACGGAGACACGAAAACCGAATGGACATCCGCTGGGTTCCGACCAGCGAGCATAACCAATTGTTGAGCCTGGCGAAAGAGCAGGCCAGAGCCGCGACACAAGAGGATGCTACCCCTCAAGCACAGGTCCACAGAATGAAGTCAACCACCCTGAACATCACACGGTCCCAAGCAGTCACCAGCAAAGGCTTGCCAGAGAACATAGGGCGACATTCCAAACGAGTAGATGCAGCACTCCCAGGGAAACACACCCGGCAGCTGTATGATCAATTATCGTGGAAAGAAGCAAGCGTGCTGGCCCAACTCCGGACTGGCATGGCAAGACTCAACGGATATCTTTACCGAATCAGCGTCGCCGAGACAGATCAATGTGCATGTGGACAAGCAAGAGAGACCGTGGAACACTTCCTCTTTCGATGTCGGAAGTGGACCGCACACCGGACGGGAATGCTGCAATGTACCCATGCTCACCGAGGGAATATATCCTTCTTCCTGGGCGGAAAGTCGCCGTCAGATGATCAGAACTGGACACCGAATCTAGAAGCAGTGCGAGCCTCAATACGGTTTGCAATCGCCACGGGCCGACTGGACGCCACTTAGCCATGTCGACCAACATAAACGAACCCCTCCCCCCCGAACTAACCCCCACCCACCACCTCGTGCCAGAGACGGTAGACGCGCTTCAACTGCCGAGAATAGGATGTTGAACACTTGAAGAAGCGCCTTCAAGCCAGCCTACTAACAAAATTACTATCCCGCGAGGATCCACCACGATAATGACAGTTGAGATGACATATACAGAAAGTAACCATGTATGGGCTGCAAGGAGACACGGCATATACTAGGGACATGTATTGATAAAATAGTGATAGTTGCCCTTTCGGCTTCGCCGCCGGGCGTTAATGAATTGTGTGTGTGTGTGTGGTGGCGCAATCGGGGACCAAGCTTACTACAGTACATTCATCCTCGCATCTCGTGTCAACAGGGGACAGAGTTCATGCTTGTAAGAGGAACATAGCCTTCCACACAGAAGTATGAATAGGTCTTGCATAAAGTTATGTCGCCATAAAATAAAACAAAAGATTCTTTTGTGCGAATCGTCCTTATATGTCAATCGCAGACAAGATATGTATAAGCAGTGCCATTATCATGCGATGACTCTAAATGGGCATAATAGCCGACAACTTATGCATCTATGCACGTAAGCGAAATTCATGTTATGTTCTACTATTATACAATCTAGTATCGAATAAAAGAGCCGAGGTTTAGACCAATAAACTTCTATCTAGTTATGCCCAATCGTGTTATGTGACTTTATTGCATATCCTGAATGCACAGAGTATCACACGAGACATGTAGACTCTATATGATTGATTGGCTTGTACACTCGATGCAGGGTCCAACTAATGTAAGTCATTTTAGATATCACCTACTCCGCGAACACTTACTTGGCAGGTGTACAAGTACCAAGAACGAGACCATGATGAGAGTCTGGAGGAAGCTAGCTTGGCACTTGAATGACCACTATAAGAACTCCCACTATCCCCGCTCCTACGACACATTCAGCAGCAGCAGGAAGACTTGTTTACCTTTAAAATTGTATCCTCAGACCAAAAATGTATCTCTCATTCCTCTCCATCCTTGCACTTGCACCTGCCGCCCTTGGTATTGTCGTCAATGACCCCATTATGAAATCGAAACGAACTTGGCAGCTGTTATGGAATATTGACACCCCGAAAACCGGATTTTTCCTTACTCGGAATTGGAAGGAAATGGAATTTATTGGCGTTGCGGAGACTGCGAAAGAAATAGCTACTTTCAGACTATCAAAGGAGCTAGTTCGTCCAGGGTAAGAATCGGTATTTGATTTTGCCTTGATGAAAATTTGATGAAAATTTGATGTTAATGTTGATATGGTCTGTGTAGTGAAGTTTGGATTGTCGCATACACCAATGGTGGTATAGGTCCAATCGGATATAGCCAGAAGTTGACTCTGGAATGAGAGGTTGGCATAAGTGTGATTCCATAGCACTTATTATTTGTCTAGCTTTGATATGTCGGAAGTTTACAATATCTTTTTACAATATCCCTTTAAATCAGTGGTCTCAAATGTCTTTAATAAGTTATGACAACCCGGACTCTGCAAAAGAATACGAGCCCCGCGCTGACTGGGAGAATATTCATGAATGTTATTTAATATGGGCATTTGCTATCCCCTTGGCGATGAGATATAAAAGGATATCCGGTTATTTACATCTGTAATACGACCTACAACACATATCAAGCCCTGTAAGATAGCATATATCACTGATAGTTAATTTCCCTGGCGTGTTTTGGGTCCAGGGTCGAAACCCGACCCGTGACTCTAGTTAATTATAAAACACTACCCACTGGACTGGGTATAGGTTGGTCTCGAAGGCTATGTATCTCCATTTATTTGACGCTATCGTGAAAAAACCATTTATATACGCACATTCGGTCGTTTCGAAACAATATGGATCTCTAATCGTTGATCGACATTATGCCTGTTTATCAAAAGCGTCTTTGGCTGACAACTCTTTCACTTCAATCTCTTGCCACTTTCTGCCCATAACATTTCCATCACCTTAAACATCTTATTTTCTCGGCCAAGGCCAACTCCAGTTCCGAATATGCTCAGAATCGAGTCCATTATTGAACGCCTTGGCCTTGCCCGCTAGCTGCTCATTGATTAGCCTCTCTCTCACACCAGATGCCGTGTTGCCGAGATGTTGAACCAAGTCAATAGCGTCAACAGCAAGGCTGTATCGATCAGTTTGATTGTGTATAGCCAGCTCAAACGGAGTGTCGATATTGCCCTTCTCTCTGTAGCCTCGCACATGTAGGTTATGCTGGCCCGGTCGCTTGTACGTGAGTCGGTGGATAAGCCAGGGGTAAGAGTGGAAATTAAAGATGATGGGTTTGTCGGTGGTGAAGATGGCTTTCCACCTCTTGTCTGACAGGCCATGTGGATGGTGCATGCTCGAGATCAGTCGGAATAAGTCCACCACATTGACGAAGCGGACTTTGAGCTGTGGAAGGTGCTCGCGCAGGAGCGCGGTGGCGGCTAAGGCTTCGTGAGTTGAGACATCACCGCAAGATGCTATCACGACGTCGGGTTCTGCGCCTTGGTCATTGCTAGCCCAGTCCCAGATTCCGAGGCCCTTGGTGCAGTGCTGGACAGCTTCGTCCATGTTCAAAAACTGAATGTGCTCCTGCTTGTCGGCGACGACGACATTCACGTAGTTGACACTGCGGAGACAGTGGTCCATGATCGAGAGAAGAGTGTTTCCATCCGGTGGGAGGTAGATTCGAACCACCTCAGGGCTCTTGTTTGCGACCACATCGAGGAATCCTGGGTCTTGATGGGTGAAGCCATTGTGGTCTTGTCGTACTGCGGGCTGGCAACCACTGGATCAGGATAAAATGGCACGTGTGGAACGCCTGTTAAAAGAGCACGTCAACTGGAAGAGATTCATTGACAAAGAGATAGCCAGAACGGCTGGAAATGGCAATGGACTAACCGGTTCTGGCAATTATTCTGCCGAAAAATCAGCACCAATTGCTGCATTAACGTTGCCGAATGACGAATATCCCGAGGAGGATAACTTGGCCATGAACACCACAGCCAAAATGAACCTTAGGGATCGATGGATATTGGACACCGGAGCTAGCATTCATGTTTGCAATAATCGCAGCCTATTTGATCAATATACCGTGAAGAAGGCGGCCATGCGAACTGGCGATAGCTTCACGCGAGTTGAAGGTATTGGAACTGTCAGAATGCTTTGTGTTGACCCTATCACTGGTGGAACAAGCGTCGTTCGCCTCCATGATGTCAAATATTCCCCTGATTTTCATGTCAACCTAGTTTCATATAGTCAAGCGAAGACTAGAGGTTGCCGATGGGATGAGAACGGTGGATGCATGCGCAGTGCTAATGGCAGTGCTTTTGCCAAATTGACTCATGATCGTGGAGCTGGCCTATGGCTATTTGACCAACCGGCCGGTGATGCCACAGCCTGACTATCCGTCAGCCCCATCGCTTGGAAAGGAGGATGTGAGACGCAGTACGCGATGGCGGCGCCGAAATCGTCTGCATCAAGAAGCTCGCAAGCATCAATTGATGTGTGGCATCGCAGGCTAGGTCATATTCAGCCAATCACAGTCAAGAAGCTGCTGAGCTTGTGGATGGAATCAAGATCGATGGTTCCACAACCCCTGATGGAGATCAGTTTCATTGCGAGATCTGCCGACTATCTCAGGCACCACGACAAATTTCACGTCGTCCCTGGGGTCGTCAATTCGGCCGATATGGTCAAATTTTCTATGACATTGTGGTCATGCCAATTGCATACAATAAGATGCAATATTTCACACACTTCTATGTGTCCGGAATTCGTTTCCATTGGGCGTATTCCCACCAATTCAAAAATGACGCGGTCGTGGCCATTCGGCATTTCCTTGCATTTGCAACGAAAGTCCTGAAATTGCCTATTGTAGCATTTCATACGGATAACGAGCAGGCTGTGAGGGAGGATGTGGAGAAAGAGCTAAAACGAGAAGGCTTCATTATCACCCACACCATACCACAACATGCGGAAATGAATGGACCAGGCGAGCGCTCAGGGGGTGTGATCACCATGAAAGCCAGAAAGCTGCGAATTGAAGGCAAATTGCCAGAAGCCCTGTTGCCGGAGATGGTCATGGCAGCTGCATGGATATTGAATCGCACACCGACCTATTTGAAGGATAAATCCCAATGGATTGTGCCTTGGGATGAAGCTCGCCCTTTACTGGATGCTGATGGAGTTAAGAAATCAGATCTCTCTGGTCTCAGAATATATGGTAGTCTTACCTACTTTCGTCTGGACAGAATTCCTCAACGAAATAAGCTCCGTCCGCGCGCTGAAATCGGCTTTCTAGTCGGATATGAAGCATCGAATGTCTGGCGAATATGGAGACCTCGGAAGAACGATATCATTCGTGTGCGAGATGCAGTTTTCGATGAATCGCGACGCTGGCATCCAAATATTGAATATTGGAAGGAGGAGCCATTGCCCATTCCTGCAGCAGATGCTATGACGAAGGATGAGGTTGATCGTGTGATATTGAAAGAACGAGGGTTGACAGATAACTGGATGGATTATGTGACTGGCCCTGGAACGGCTAGCACAGTGATGCCACAGCCTGGCCAACCAGCACCGCCTGCCCATTCATTCGATTCTTATATAGCCGAGCAACGCCAATTCTATGCGCCAATTCAGACGACATAACGGACGCCTGAGCCTGAGGGTCCGCAGCAACCGGATGACCGTGCAGAACCAATCCAGGAATTGACCCCACCATCTGTGGAATGGAAGCCCCAGCAACCAGTTGATCACTCTGAGCATACACCACCAGGAGCATTCCCTGACGATGAATTGCCGTCGTTACTATCTACACCGTCACATGATCGTTTTCCGGCATGAAACCCTGCTGCAGAGACTGAGGGGGTGGAGAGCTATCAAAGCGTTGATCAACTGCCTGAGCAGTCTGCGCAGAATTTCGATTCTTTCACACCAGAGCCGCTATGGGACAGTGAAGCCCAATTGAACCAAGAACTCTCACAGGCGCCACCAGATCAGCCGCCTGAGCCACCACTTGTGGCGCCCAGAAGTATCGATTCCACTGTGCAAGAGTCGAATATATTAGAAGGTCGTCGTGAGCGGAGATCAACCCACCGAGACGACTGTGCCTATTTCGCCGCTCCTATTCATGAGGACTATGCAGAAGAGCCTCAGGAGCTATTGGCTGCATTTGCCACCGGCCTCAATGCCGAACAAGAACACCACCAACATCGTGATGACTTACCACCACCGCCGCAGAATTGGAAGGACATGCTCCGTCATCCTCACTGCGAGGCCTTCCTAGCTGCTGCAGCCCGTGAGACCAATAGCCTGCGTGCTAAGGGAACATTCCAAGAGGTCAAAGAACCAAATGACCGTTCCGTCCAGGTGTTGCCATTGAAATGGGTCTTTGACTATAAGTTTGATCAAGATGGCAATCTCCGGAAGTTCAAAGCTCGTCTATGTGTACGCGGTGATCTTGAAAGAGTAACACCAGACGAAAAGAGAGCCGCTACCCTAGCCGCTTGAACTGCACGCATTATCTTTGGCCTGGTTGCCGCATTCAACTGGGATGTGAGGCAATTGGATGCTGTGAATGCATTCCTCAACAGCACATTGCCAAAACCGGTTTATACCAAACTTCCAGATGGTTCAACCTCACCACCAGGTCTATGCTGGAAACTCGAAAAGGCGTTATATGGACTTCGGATATCCCCAAAGCTATGGCAACAGGAGGCCTCAGGCGTCCTGGGAAAGATAGGACTAACTGCACTGCCTGAAGATCCGTGTGTGTTTGTTGGAAAAGACATCATTGTCTTCTTCTATGTGGATGATATCATTATTGCTAGTGATCCATCCCAACGGCATCAAGCCGAACAGCTGGAGCGCGATCTCCATGCAAACTGGGAGCTCACCGACCATGGTGACGCTCGCTGGTTCCTAGGCATACGCATCATTCGAAACCGAGAGCACAGGAAGCTCTGGTTATGCCAAGATGCCTATATTGAAAAGATGGCTATCTGATACCATCTTAACCATCGTTCAAGGGTGACCACACCACTGGCACCTGGGCAAGAGTTGAAGCTTCATAATGGCCTACCAAATAAGGCTAGGATCGAAGAATTTTCCAGCAAACTAGGCTCAGCTCAATATGCCACCACCATCACCAGGCCTGATGCTGCCAGAGCTACTGCCAAATTGGCCCAGTTTCTCACTAATCCAGGGCCACAGCACATTGATGCTATTGACCGTGTGATAGTCTATCTGTACTGGACCCGTCACCTGGCAATTGAATATGGCCTCTGCAGCGGCCTAAAATCGGTGGAATTTGTCAGCGACGCCTCATATGGTGATAACACCGATCGGAAAAGCTCATCTGGTTATATCTGCCATTATATAAGAACAAAGCGACGCTTTTTCAAAGAAGCATGACCTTGGGTAATTTCCTGCCTTTTACATCCACTCTGGAAGTGAGCGTTACGAAGATAGCCATTGGAAAAGCCTTGACATCACTTCATCGACCGTCTTTGGCAAATCAGTCCCGGGAAGATCAGGCTTGATCTCAAATCCCCTCTGCTCTAGCAGCCAACATAGACTTCTATAACTGTCTCGTCGAGGGGGCGAATCTGTATCCGTAGAAAAGGCCAGGCTAGTGTGTACGCTTGGGCTCGCTGGAGCGAGTGAGTCCCTTTCGTAGATAGTTCCGAGAGAAAGAATCTTCCACGGCGCACTGCTATTGGAACGTTCAACTGTATAGACAAGACGAACATGAGAGGTCAAGTCATATTCCTGCCCACACTCGTTGAGCCTAAGTTTAATAGTGCATGTTGATTCCACTATCGCTCTATCTTCCTGGATGTGGATTACCGCAGGTGTAACCAGATGTAAGGGATTCTCACCCCAATCAGATAATTGCTTTGCAGCGAGAATGTAACTGTCAATAGTGTCATTGATCCTATAGATCATATAAGCGAAGACTTTGATAAGGACAAGGGGACTTTTGATTACCAGGTGACTGCTACATTAGTTTTAGAGGAGTCGCTATGATAACATGCCCGTATGTTTGTCCATTGTTTTGTGTCCCGGTAGTAGCGCTCCTTGATGATCAACTCACGTATCTCACTTTTGTCCAAGTATTCAGGCATTTTGGGTACCATGATAACGAAAATGAAACTTCTAGAGTTCAAAATCTGACATAGTCGACAGACTTATAGAATTATTCTGAGCTCCCAGCAGTGCCTATAGTTGTATCCTTGGAACATGATCTTGTCATTGAATGACGCAAACGGACATTCCATGGGCAATTTTTGCGCACCGGAATACGTCCTATCATGAATAAATTACTGAGCTAAGATTGAAAAAGTAGTACAAGTAGTGCATGAAATTTGTGATTATAACTATAAATTGATACGAGAAAATTTAGTATCGCCGCTAATGATGTGACCAGTGTGAGGACAATCCCCCGAGGGCGTCCTGATACGATAAGGATACGAGTGAAGAATGTGAGATATGCCTGATATGGGTATGATGATATTCAGACTAATCGCTGGTCCTCCTAAGAGGATCCAGCTCCTCCTTTTGAGGGGATCCTCTGTGCGTATGCAAGCAGGTAAGCGAGGTGATGTATCAACAGGCGGCCCCGGTGGTGGATAGGCACCTCCTCCGCATTTCCTATACCTCACTGTACGGTTGGTGTAACAACCAGTCATACCTATGAAACGTGTTCATCTGTTCCTGATAATCCAGAGCCCACCTGTTTGGTAGGTTTATGAATTTTCAAGCTTCGTATAGGCATGATTGATAATCAAGCCGTTTTATCTTGTCGTGGATTGATTTGTTGGTATAGTGATGTGATTGAACTAATTTTACTTTTAACACAACGTGCAAAGTTTGGAAAACCTTAGTTTTGCGCTGATTATGGTCCATAGTGAACCTCGATATGCGGAGCTGGGTCTTTACACATGCACTGTAGCACATGTACTCAGGATCTAGGCCAATGTCCTGTGGCTTTCCTTTTTGCTTTCTCTTCGGTCGCGGGATTGTGGAACATCGTGTATTACTCTGTATCGTACAATAAAGAGGTAGCGCAACCATTACTCTTACGAGGTCCTGAGATTTCTTCTATCCGAGCATGTGAATAAGCCACTTTGTCGTCGCACGACTGGGGGTAAGAAGGGTGAGTGCATTATAGACAGGGTGAGAATCAGGGTCAGAATCACGTAAGTCGCGCGACCACCGCACCGACGAGAGGGCCGAAGGAAGTGGAGTTTGGGTTAGGGAAGACATTGGCTGATCAGGAAAAAGATGGACATGCATTTTTATCCGCATTTTGAGAGGTTCGCTGCATTCTTTGCTGCATGGCAGCACGTTTAGAGGTTGAAACCAAGCCGCTAGAAGATTGATTTCAATTAGTATGTTAAGGTGACACTGAATCAATATTTCGTCCTGGAGATATACCTCTATAAAGCTTCTTCTCGGAACTTAGAGTTTCAGGTCATAAAGTTTGACAGTGCCTACATACTGTAATACAAATAGCAAACAAATTGAAGATATCCTACGACGTCAGCCAAGGGAAAAAGGCAAGCAGAGTATCCTGGTCTAGAACTTATAACTCCAGCACTAGAGATGTCTGAGTTGACATACACGATGAAAAATGTGAATTGATAGCTTATATAGATAGAGCGGAAAGCTCGTATCGTAGGTTAAAGAAAAATAGACATGGGATGTTGGTTGTATACATGAATCTCGTGTTTTCCCACTCATAATTTCATCAGGAATGTATACAGAACCAAGTTAAATGCGTCATAAGAAGGCAGCTGCTCTGATACAATATATTATGCTAACATCCGATACATCCTTTCTCTTTATCCTGTTTAAGTTGAGGATAGCCCAATTTCCATTGCAAACATGTCCCAGGAAAGCGTCACAGCTGTTGAACTATTGTCCAGGTTGGCAAGCACCATACATGTTATCGCTTCTAACCTACAGGATAATCGACTCGGCAGGAGGACCATTCAAGCACTTCTTCACGATTACGCCTCTCGTGCGGAGTCGGATGGTCATCTTATCAACGCTTCAAGGCAAGACTCAAAATGTGCTGGCCTAGGCTTGTTCCTAGCATACCAGCACATGGAGTTGATATCATGGCTAGCGAGAAATAATTACACTATCTTATCATCGTCAGTGAAGTGGTATAGCTTGAGGAAGCTTTTCAAAAATTATCGACTACCTCTGCTTTCAATCTCATCGCAGACTGCAGATTTGAAAGACCAACTGGAAAATATTACGAAAGTTGCACAACTGGTCCATGCCGATCTCGAAGCAAATAATGTAAAGTCAAACTTCCCTGCATATTCATCACCGTTATCTAAATTTCACAAGATATCGATTCCCTCGACGGCCATCAAATATCGCAGAGTTCCAATTCAAGAGAAGCATGCTGGCCCTCCCCCCGGAGGGTATGTAGGCCTATTTAATTATGTATCCCTTTAACCCATAAATTGGCTATATTAGAGTGCCTTGTTATTGACATGAAAGCACAGCAATCCACGACCTTCTTCGACGAGGCTCTTTTTTCCAGCGGGTTCTCAGCGATACTTGAAAACAAACAAAAAATTTTACTTCTCCTCTTTTCCCGTCTTACAGTAATGATGATGATGATGATTTCATTTACCCTGACCCCTCACCTTAACGGTGATATGCAGGCTACCTCAACTATATATATCCCTGTCCGTACATGTAGATTGTCCCACTTCCTGACAACGAACTTAGAGCCTCGTCACGGCCTGCCGTGGCCTAATTGCCGCTTCCACTGTTAGGCTGCCCTAGTGGCGCGCGACTGCGAAACCGTTGTGACGCCTCGGCGAAGTCCAATACGGCCTGGACCGTCTTCGCCCTCGAGACGGTGTCTGGTTTACCTTGCTCACCTTGTTTTGAGCCTCCCAGCAGACTCGACACGCTGTTGAACGCGTCCCCCACTTTCTGTCTCAGTTCCCTTCGTAGATCCTTCAAGATTGGGCAATCTACCAGGACATGGGTCACTGTTTCTTGCGCGCCGCACACGCACTGATCGTCTTCGCGGAACCGAAAGAGCTTAGCGTAGGTGGATAGCCAGTTATGGCCCGTGCGTAGCTGAGTCAACAAGTATGCCTGGCCCCTGGCCAGGTTTCCGTACAACTTCCTGGTGTATGCCGACGGCAGAGTGTTATCGATCTTCCTCAGATGGCCGCCTTTATTGGTTGATCTCCACTCATGTTCCCACTGGGCGATGATATTACTACGAATGGACGCCTTTTCTCTTGTGAGCAGCGGCCGGAAGGAGTGTGATTTGCCTGGGCTGGCAGCCTCCTTCGCCAATCGATCTGCGGCTTCATTGCCTGGGTTATCACAATGCCCTGGCACCCACTGCAGGCGTAGTGTAACGCCTGCGGCTTGGACCTCAGTGGCGGCGTGGTGGATCGCATGAACAATCCGTTGTCCTGACTTCTTTTTTACGTTCTGGATCGCTTGTAACGCTGACTTGCTGTCGCAGAGGATTGTCGCGGTTGTCTCTCGATCTCCCGCCCCATCTCGCTGGTGTGCTATTTTGAAGATCATATTGATCGCATAAAAGACGCCAATCAGCTCCGCCACGTGAACTGACCAGCGGTCCATCGGTCCCACCTGGACTTGCTGTGATTCGACTACCTCCAAGTTGTTGTCTATTGTTACGGCGGCTGCTCCCAGCTGGCCATCACGACCGGACGCATCCGAGTAGACGACTATGTCCGATTTTGATCGGATGGCGTCGGCGCGTTGTCTCGCTGCCTCTCGGTCTAAGCCAACCTCGACCTCTGTGAAAGGGTCGAGGCGCCACGGGGGTAGTGGTCGTGGGTCAATTGTTTCCACTTCGCTCAATCTCTCGACGCTCATGGTCTTCAGTGCTTCCGCCAAGGGGAAGCGTGCATACGATCCAGTGTTGTTTCTACGTCGGTGGGCTCGTGTGAGTGTGTGCCAGATCGGATGGTCCCGTGGTAGTGTGTGAAGACTGGCGATGGTGCGCTGGGCTCGGTGTCGAAGGCGAAGATGGGTGGGAAGAATGTGTGCTTCTACTTCCATGGTTGTTGTAGCCACCGTTCGGAACGCCGATAGGATGCGGATCAGCGAGCTTCTCTGTACTGTGTTCAGGTGTCGCAGATGGGTCTTGTCTCTTAACGGGTCGTACCATACGGTTGACGCGTAGTCGACGACCGGCGTGACGCATGCCTGATAAAGCTGTCGCATCTGTTCGGGCCGCAAGTGACGCAACCCGCATAGAGCAATAGTGGTTTTGGTTGCGCGCTTTATAGCCTGTTGTACGTGTTCCTTCCACCGTAGCTCCTGGTCAAAAACCACGCCTAGCAGCTTCGCTGTAGGTGAGGGCGCCACAGTTGTTCCGTTCACAACGATCTGGCCTTGCCGGTGGTCTCCTTTCTTCCGGGTGAGGTGGATGAGCTCGGTCTTTTCTGCGGCGAAGCAGGACCCGGTCCGGCGCGCCCAGGCTTCAATACGTGGAATATCTTCGGACTGTAGTTTGGCTAAGTTTTCTTCAGCTGACTGGCCCACTCGCCAGCGGAAGTAGTCATCGATGAACGCCGAGGCGCCCCCGTCACGGTTGACCGGTTGGTTGACAAGCTCAGCGTTAAAGAATGCAAATAGGATGGGCGATAGGGGCGACCCTTGCGCAAGCCTAGCGTTGGCTAGCGGTGCGTTCACAGTACGATAGTCGTCAAATCCTATGCTAGCGTGGTGGTCTACTATAAAGCTTGCAATCCATTTGCGGGCTATGGCTGGGATCCTTCTGGCTCGTAGAGCGGTGTCTAGACTCGTCTTGTTGACTCCGTTGAAGGCTCCTTTTAGGTCGAATGAGATGAGGGTTACTACTTTGTGCTTGTACCAGGCCTGGTCGATCGCGTTTGAAAGCACGAGCAGGGCTTGTTCTGTGGTTCTTCCTGGGCGGCCACCAAATTGTGTGTCCGGTAGTAACCTATGCTTTTCTGCAAGATGTGAAAGTCGTTTGGCAATGACGGCTTCTAGGAGCTTGCCTAGTGTATTGAGGAGTGAGATTGGGCGATAGGCACTAGGAATCGAGTAGTCTGGTTTCCTGGGCTTCCTCAGTACCACAATCTTCGCGCTCCGCCACTGTTTCGGGTGGTATCCTAGGTTTACTGATGCATTGAACATCCTGGTGATGATACTTCCAAGGTATGTCTATAGCCGTTTCTATACCACCATTGGTAGGTTGTCTTCTCCGGGCGCGGTGGCTCCTTTGGCAGTCTGAAGAGATCTTTGAACCTCCAGTTCCGTGATCGGCTGCCATGGGAGTTCCACCGTTGCTGCCGTTGACATTTCGGCCGCTGGTGTGTTTATTTCAGGAAAGAAGGAGTCTAGGAAGGCCTGCGCTTTTTCCTCATTCTCGGTGACTTCGTGGTCGTTCACTTTCAAGGCTGGGACACCACCCTAGCTGTCTCGCGGTTTTATGTAGGTAGCAGCTTTCTAGAGTTTTCCTTCCCCTGCTTTGTCTAGGAAATTCTTTCCAATATGATGCTTTGGCTTTCTCAATAGTCCGAGTCTATTTCCGTCGACTTTCTTGCATCTGTTGGAAAGTAGTGATGGTGCTGGGGTGTTCGCACCCGAGCATTGCGTAGCTTTGTTGCCATTTCCGACGTACCTTGTTGACATTGGTCTGTTGGTATTTGAGGTCTGGCGTAAACCACCGCTTGGAATAAGGAGTTGGGCGTGTGTCGGGTGTGTGCCGGTTCATGACTTCCGTTGTGGTGTCTATGAGTTTCTGGACCGTGCCGTCGAGGGTTGGTCGAGTTTTGATTTCTTTCCATGGCCCAATCTGCTCCTGTATTTCATGGCCAATTTTTGTCCAATCTGCACGGGTGTAGGTCTTTCTTTTACGAATTGAGTTCTGTTGGGTTTGGAGATTCCACTCCGAATACGTGGCCCGATGGTCAGACCCGTAGTTTTTGTGGTAGAGGTGGCATTTGACTAGACGATCTGGGTAATCTGTCACTGTTTGGTCGATTGTGGAGTTTCTCCCTGGGCGATTCAGGGACCAGTAGGTCACCGTCCCTCTTGGGAGACAGCCATGTAGTCTGTTAGTTTGTAAAAAGTTAACCAGGTCGATTGCGTCCTCAATGAACCGCGGCGGGATATGGTTGCCTCCCCAGGTCGGGTGGTGGCGGTTGAAGTCTCTAGCGAGGATGACGCTTGTTGACCTTTGACTATCCTGGGTAGCGTTTGAAATTGTGTTTTGAATTGCTGTGAGCGCTGGCTCTGCTGATGTATTATCCGAAGCGAAGAGCGGGACGGGTGGGATATACACCGAAAATATTAGTGTCTGGGATTCAGCTGTCTAGATCTTAATAGCAGTGATGTCGGGGTGGTCGCATGCGATTTGACGGTGCGAGGAGGTAGATAGGTTTCGGTTCACGTAGATGAGGCTCCGGAACCGGGTCTTATCTGTTTCGGTGGTGGGTCGGTAGAGACGCCAAGAACTGTGGCTGACATATGTTCGGTAGGAAGTGATAGATGGTTCCTGGATTAGGAGTATATCCAAGTCCTGGCTTTGGTGGTCGTTGATGAGGGCCTCCATCCTCGGGCCAGATTTCATCATATTCAACTGTAGTATTCGTAGGTTTGTCTCTAGCATTGGCGGGGGTTGAAAGTTGCGGGGCTCGGGCATTGTCGGTCACCAGTGGTATGTTCACCACTGCAGTCGAGGCACCGGGCTCGAACTCCTGGTGGGCATCGTTGGCGTTCATGTTGGCCAGCACAGTGACCACAGCGTGGTGTTTCTTTGCACGACCACGCCAGGTGTCCAAAATGTTGGCACCGGAAGCACCTCTTTTTCTTGATTTCACGGCGTTCCACACTGCCGATTTGTCTTTGTCCAACAAGGAGGCCGTTATTAAGGATATATTCGGCTCCTTCTGCAGAGTCGAACCAGATGCCGAGAGATGCAAATTTCCCTAGTACCTTGTCCTTCCGTTTGAGCCAGGCTAGTTCTTCGATGTGGAAGCCATGTTCTGCCAAGTCGTTTTCTTCTATAACTTTTTGAACGGCCCGAGCGCCCGCGTTCTCCAAGTCGAAGTCCTCTGTCGGAGTCCGGTGTACGACTACCCCAAATCGTGGTTTAACTAGTTTCGTGTCGTTTCCTAGCTCGTTCAACCATTCAGTGTTGTTGCGGGCTGCCTCGGCCGAGTCTGAGTTTTTGAAGCGAATCAAATATCCCGTTTTAGTTATGCCAATGCCGGCCACTTGGGTATCTTGAGTCGAAGGAGCGCTCAACAGCGCTGAACGGATATAGGTGTTAGCAGAGTTGGTAGACAGGTATCACCCGAAGGTGTCCCCTTCACTGTTCTCATTGTCTCTCGGGTCTACAAATGATCTCTGTGTGCTGATGCGGACGCAGTTCAGGTCCTTTTCTGGTCGTCGGGGGCTTAGCTGCGGGTCACTTGTACCACTAGCTGCGATCGCTGCCCATGTTCTAGGCGGGTTTGGCTGTGGGCTAGCTTCGATTTATGCTCTTAAGGCTCTGACTTCTTCATGGAGCTTATCGTTCTGCTCTCGGAGGACGTTCTGGTCGTGCTTGACCTCTTCGAGGTCAGCTTTGGTAGACTCGATAAGTGTGGTTTGGCGGTGGATAATGTCCTTGAGGCTGTCGATAAGCTTCCACACTTCTCGGGTTGTGATCCGGCCTGTGCCCTCGGTGGGCGTGTAGGCTTCACCATTTCTCGTTCTTTTCCCTATGATCTGGGCTGGGTCGATCGATACTCGAGGCTGGAAATCCTCAACTGAGAAACTGGTGATGCTTCCTTGGGTGTTTGTGGGAAGGGGTTCGGGCCCTCCCGCGGGTGGGTCCGCCATCGGTCCGGGGTTAGCTCCCGCTCGGTACACAACCACAACAGTTTTATATTGAATATAATATCAACCAACACCCCGCCTGTGTCTAGTAGTTCAATGGGCTACAGTCCATCAAGTACAGACGATGATGATGATGATGATGATGATGATGATTTCATTTACCCTGACCCCTCGCCTAACGGCGATATGCAGGTTACAACTACTTTCTAAATACATGCTGATTGATCCCTGAGATTGTACCAAACTTCCTGGGCGGTGAACTTTGAGCCTCACCTGATAAGGCCTGTCGTGGCCAATTTGCCGTTCGAGGTGTTAGGCTGCCCTTACGGCGCGGCTGTAATGGGTTCCTAGATAAGGCGGCCAACAATTGTCCGCGGCTGGCTGCATCTCGGCTAGGAGTTTCGAAAATGCTGGCAAGGCTGAGATTAAAAACCTGGTTAGAGATTGTGTCGCAGATACGTTTTTGTTGCGAGCTCGACGAGCTGAGCTTTTGCTGGTTTTCTTGCTGAGTTGGAATGGTGATGGTTTGTTGTGGAAACGGCGGTAAAGGTCCTCGATTGTGAGTGTGCGTTTGGGGGAAGGTACGGATTGATTGGTATTGGAAGTAGATTTCGGTAGAGAAGGTCCGGAGTGTTGTAAAACTGAGGCATAGGTAGGTTGTGAGTTTGGTGTGGAGGTAGCTGGGAATGTTGAGAGGCGAGGTTGAGGAGGTTGAGAGGCTTCAGAAGAGAAGGTCGGTTGAGATTGTTGCGGCACTGGCTCGGGTATCGTACTGAACTGGTCGGAGGCTGTATCAATGTTCATGGTTGAAGGTTCATGTGGCGGGATCGATGCTGGCACTGATTTGATAGGCGGTCTTTGAGGTGATGGAGATGCGGTATCTAAGCGGGTGACAATGTTGGGTGTTTCGAAAGTATGCTTCAAATCGCGACAGATGATCTGCCATATGCAGTCTGCCAAATGAAGAGTTTTCATCTCCGCGGTGTGGTTATCTTGGAGCGTGTATAAGGGCATGGTCGATCCGCAAGCAAAACAGCACGCTGATCCTCCAGATCTAGAGCACTTGAAATACAAGCCATTTTGAGCAAGTTGGAGAGGAGTGACGTTGGTAAGCACTTGTCTATGAAACGAGAGAGCTCGAGCAGCGATGGTTGAGTAGGTGATCGGGATTTGGTGGAGAGGTTTGTTGTTGTAATGCGGGCTAAAAGACATTAAGTAGCTTCGACAGGCCTACTTGCATAGACCACTACCCCAGTTTTTCACCCGATAATGAGGCTTCTGGACTCTTGAGGTTCACCAGGCCTCTCACCCTGGGTGTCTCTTAGTTTGCTCCTTAAGCATACATCACGGGCAGGCCAACTAGGACGACACCGCTTCAACCGACCGAGGTCGGTTTCAGGCCCCCCAGTGCGAGTGAGGTAATTGACTCCCGTCTGTTTGTACACCGACACGCGCATCCGTCCTCTCAGGCTATACAGACAGTCTCTTGACAAGGGCCCACCCCTGCCACAGTGGCTGCCATTGTACACCACGCCCCGCGAAAGCTTGCGCTCTCGTTTCGCGTTACCTAGGGAGGTCTCCCTCCACTAGGCCGACCGTGTCTTGCAGAGAGCCCTCGTATACACTCCAGCCGGCAGTGTATGTCGGTCGCTCCCTACTAACCAAGCTTGGTCCCCAGCGACTGAACAGGGCCGATGATTTACCCGTGACACAGCCTTAACGAGCTTCATCAGTTGCCATCAGCCAACCACCAATATCTTCCAGATTGCCCGTGTGTCTCCCAAGAGGGTTGCCCGTGTCTCGGCGGTGCCCGTGTCTCGCAGAACAGCCGCGCTAGAGCTTACCCGTAGCTTCGCCTTAACGAGGTCTCCAGCGAACGACGTCTCCGAGCCTTAACGAGTTCGAGTCTTAACGAGGCCTCTGGGCCTTGAACGAGGTCTGTCCGATGTTAGCTTGACTGCCTGCGTCGCTGGTTCACTACCGCCTCGCCGCATCTCGCACGATGCGATCCCAGACCGTATACAAGCTCAGGGGTGTCCTGTCTTCTTCCTAGGGCGACACCACTTCGACTGGTAATGCAAGACCAGCGTCTGGGCCCGAGTGCGAGTCGGGTAAGAAGAAGTCGGATGGTTTTCATATCCCGTTTTCCCCTGATTTTGGTGTGGTAGTGTGGTCGTGCCCCGCACACAGCGCGCCGGGCCGGACCGCACAACCACCACGGATTCACTTTGGTCTCCCGCAACGGGGATTAACACCGGACACCACGAGAAGGTATGAATCCATTGTCCCAACAGCCTGGCGAGGACTGTCGCCCAGTGCGAGCTCACTGGGGGCCATCAAGTACAGACGCGCTCGAAATCAGATTCACCACTTCACTCTCTGTAGTTAGTTGTCAAACTCTATCTTGCATAACGCTATGCCTATTACTGTTACACTACCCCACAACCACAATCTTGGCAGAATCTCAGTACCGTAATAAATAATCCTTAAAAATAGATATCGTATCAGGGCCGTATGGCCTTTGCCCTGTCTGGAGCTTAGGAGCTATAGGGATGGTGTAATTTCGAAATTGGCTAACCTATTTCGAAATATTGAAATTTCACTTATATTTTGCATTTCAATTTCATTTCAAAATTTCTTGGCGTTGCTGAGTCATCATTCTTTTATTCGAGCAAGCTGAGGGATGGTAAGCCCTGCCACTTATCGCCATGTAAAGTCGAAGACACCCGGCGTTTAATTGGCCAGTACGGTCTGGGCCTTACCTATTTGGGCCTAGTATGATTTCAAGATTTCAAGGTCGATTTCAAATTTCATTTCAAGAGGCCAAATTTCAGGAATTTCGAAATTTCGAAATTTCATTTTGCCATCCCTATCTAGAGGATTCTAAACAAACGTTACAAACACCGCAAACAAAGCAACATCTGAGCTGGCGAGGTGTCAACTTCTCCCTTCTGCATCTTGCTGTTGCTGCTGCAGCGCTTCATGCTTCCTGGAGGTCCATCTGGGGTCGACGTGATAGGCAAGCCTCAACAGTAAGGTTTAGTTCCGGGATCTCCACCATTGCTTATCATCATGCTGTAGCTTCAAATCTTATTGGATACCAGGGATTACAATAGTAGCTAACGCCTTCTAGCCCTCCTCAGGTCACACCACTCTCCAGATATCCACGATGGCCAATAGCGTTTTTGATGACGATGCCTATCAAACCTAGATGGTCGACCGCTGAGACGGAAATTCAGATTATGCCCCCACGCCTGGTAATTTCGCTCGCACGCCCGCCACCGTCTACTCTCCTAGCCCTGCTCCAGAGGGTGCCACGGACCAACTGCAGCCCGATTATCTTGACTTTCTCCCGTTTGTTGAATGGGAAGAAGGTGGCGAATATGAATAGCTGTCACCGAGATATGTCTCGTACACAATTGCATGGAGGCTTATACTCAACCGTAAAACGGTAGGCAAAGTAACTGAGGAAGACCTGGTTAAAGCTCCTAGTGATTACTGGGAAAAGATTTTACAAACAAACGTTGAAAACATGCTGCAAACAAAAAAGAAGCGTCACCAGCGAGTTAGATCGGAAGGCACGGCCATTACAGTCAAAGTGAACGAACGGTCGCAAGCAAACCTGGAAAAGTTTTGTAGTTCTACTAACATTGACTTGGACCCCAGTGGAGAAGCAACTACGTAAATGGAGCAATCTAATTGGTATGGGCAAGAAGCTCACGATCGAGATCGCCTTCACTTACAGGGAGGATGATGATGGCAATTCCGTGCCTCTGCCAAGAAGATCCGAAAAGAGAGGACGTGTGTCTGCAACTAGCAGAATTTTAGCTGAACGTGAGGCGTACATTGTGGTGGAGGAAGGAACGCGTATACGAGCTCATGCGATGTAATATCCGCTCGTGTGCGCATAAGTCTGACTGGTGCTGGGAGGACCCGAAAGACAATAAGCATTACAAACTCAGGACCCCGCACCTAGAACCGCTTATCGACTATGTCGATGAGGGTGACGTCCTAGACGGTCATGACGATATTCCTGGTGATATTCGTCAAGACCTAATCCTGGAAAGTCAAACAGGAAGCAAATCGAAAAAAAAATTGATGCGTCAACAATGGGGGTACCATAATTGTCAATGTTCTTCCAGGACAAAACGGTAGTGCGCCCACGATTACTTCATCTCTACCCAGGCCCTTATCTGGGGAGCGGCTAATGATTGCCGGGCCTCTTGAAACAGCTGTGAGAGAATACTGCAAATGGCTGGAGTCACTTGCAATTGAGGAGGCGTACAAAGCTGATTTCCGCAACATTTGCCAGGTGATTTTGGAGAATTATCTAGATCTTGAACTGATTCTCGAGGATCCAGACTCTGACTTCTTCGTTCAGCGCGGGATTCGAATTGGGACTGCTGGATTCCTACGTGACATAGAACAATGAGCCACTGCGAAGAAATCAAACGGATCACTTGACCAGACCGCCGAATCATCTCTCGGCGTTGCCCAATTGATTTAATGGCTATGATTTCTTTGTCCTACCCTGAGATTCGTGATACTTTTCATATTTCTGCGAGGCGAGAGGCATTATTTTGCACATTAACTTTGAGCGTAAATATTACCGTTTATTCTCAGATTATTGGCTTTTTAGATTATTTGCCACGTAGGTCATTGGGTCAGTAGAGTGATGTTCGAGCTTAGTTACATACTGTAGTCAACGCAGCCTTGTCTCAAATTTTGGCTTACCCCGCTACTCTATTTTTCGAAAATATCTCTAACTTTGCCTGGCATGCACATGGGACCTAGCTCCTACTACAGTACACACATCATGGTACGTCTGGTACTAAAGCCAGTCGAAATTGCTAAGTGGCAAAGTGGAACCGTGGAATATATATCTATCCGGAGAGATAAACTGTATGTACATCGAATTCACAAACGATCAGAGTAAGAAGGCCTACTAGCTTGCGTCTAAACAAATATATATCTCTTGACTTACAATCTATTTGGTGAATGGTAATCTATTTGGTAATTTGCCATAGTTAAAGCTGTATAATTAGAACACTATCAAATACCACTAGTAATATTGAATATCTTGCATATAATTTGTGCAAATTTGGGGGCCAAATGGGCCAAATGGGCCAGCCCATGGGCCGCCAAGAAAACCCATGGGCCGGCCCATGTATAGGTCTAATCTGTAATGGTTACTAAGTTGTCAGGCTAGAGACCTGTGACTAGGGTCAGATTGGACACTTGATACACAGACTAATTCTTGAAGAGATCAAGAATCCTGAATAATTGTGGGATCTTAAATACACTAGGGTTCGGGTGGATCTCGATATGCAGGTGGCTCGAAGGGGATTCGAGTGCGGATCGACGTCGAATGCCTGGGGTGCGGTATACTTCCAAATCCCGTGACAAGATCATCGACATATGCGGGATGTTTTCACTTGTAACTTCGATACGCCGACACCTCGATACCCCACTTCGAAAACCATCGTCCTTTGGTACGCGGAATTTTTTTAATTCGAAGGCACTAAGTTAGCAGCCTTGTAAGAATCTCACATCAGCACTAGACAAAAGTGGGTCACAGGATCAACGCTGGACCTGATTACAATTTCCAACGATCTTCCTCTTCTCCCTCTTGACATCTCGACATGGCTGGAATTCTAGGCCCTCGGGCCATCTCCTTGGCCTTCATCGTCCTCGCCACAGGCGTGATTTACAGAACGTACATACACAACTTCATCTTCCTCACCCTCGGTATTGGACGAGAGATCCAACCAATCGAGGACTTCCCATGGACTTGTACACGCATCCGGCATTCCCTCTTGGAGGGCTGTGAAGACCTGTGGCTTGATGACCAGGACCGAAAGCTGTACGCAGCATGTAACAGCCTGGAGTCTCGCAAGGGTTGGTCGCCTGGAGGCAACCTTTACAACATCTCCGCGAGATCCCGCACGGATCACATGGCTGTTATCGATGTTGACCAACCTGGCTCAGATGGACTGTACGGTCTACGAAAGCTCAGAATCGGCGGATATCAGGATGATCTTGACTTGCATGGATTTGATGTTCGCAAGATTGAAGGGCGGCTTCGGTTCTGGTTGATCAACCACAGACCTCCAGTTGACCATGTCACTGGAGAATTCCTTGATGCTCTGGTCAGTGGGGCAAATTCTACTGTTGAGATGTTTGATCTGGATGAGGCCTCGGACACGCTTGAGCATGTTAAGACTGTGGTCAGCGAGGCGATTTTCACGCCCAATGGCGTGGCAGTGGAAGAAGATGGTCTGGGATTCGTGATCACAAACGACCACAACACCAAGACTGGAACCTTCCGTGATCTGGAAATGCTGTCTGGAGGCGGAAGCCTCGCATACTGTCGATCTGACACAGGGAAATGCCATATCGCGGCTGACAAAGGATTCTCCATAGCTAATGGAATAGTCCACGACAAGAATGGCTACTACTACGTCGCTAACTCTGCGTCTGGTCTCATCACCGTTCATAAACTCATCAATACCGAATTGATCCAGGTTGAATCGATCAATACCGGGTACCCAATGGATAACCTGTCGCTTGATGCGGATGGCAACCTCATTGCAGCCGCGTTCCCTGATTCAATTGCCCTTGTGAAATCTAGCATGGATCCATACAATGTTGTTGCTCCTGCTACTGTCCTCAAGATCAATGACATTGCAAAGCAGTTGAAGACTTATGGAAAGCATGTCAGAGTGTCTAAATTGGCGGAGGATAGAGATGCTAAGAGCCTTCCCAGCTCGACAGTCGCTGTGCATGATGTGAAGGGTCATAAGCTGTACTTGGCGGGTATATTTTCTCCGTTCATCACAATTTGTGAGCAGCGTCTCTAAATCTCTATAACCGAGAGATTAATACAATATTGGTTGATATATTTTAGGGACTCTTTTGTACATTAATCCAAAGGCAGAACACTCACTCTGCTGAGCTGTATAGATGCAAGGGGGATGATGAACATTCGTTTAGTGTTTCCTCGGGGCTGAGTGATTCGTAGACAGATGTTGCAGATTCAAAACCCAAGCAGTTACCAGGAGAGAGAGCATAAGTTATTCAACTAGGGCTTGTTCCTCTTGCGGGGTGAGATACTGCTGATTGGCGGCTTATCGGCGATAGAAGGCTTGTTATTGGCCCGCCGCCACAAGGTGGACGCGGGGATCCCGGTCGATCTCGACCCAATTGCGTACGATGTGCGCCCAAGATGTTGATGGGCTGTAGATATTGTGGTCAATTTTAGTCCAGTACCCTGAGAGGCATTTATTACTAGAAATGCAGGCCGTGAGAGGTTATAGGAGTACGAATACAAGAATCCGCCAATACTTCATAACTGTCGCCGACCGCTGATGACGAAAATAGGAATGCGAATGGGGGAAGATCTCTTCTCAAGTAGAATGGCAAAGAGGCATCTTTCGACCTACCGGCCGCAAACAAAGCGAGACCCTAGAAACGAGATTGTCTCGTATCAAACTAGCACGCGACGGATCTTCTTGGCCGCCCCTAGGTCCGTTCGCCATGAGTGCCCTGCCCTATGGGGCCCCTCGCCCAACGGCGGAATTTGTGGGGGCGGCAGGCTCTTATTCGCCTAGTTTCAGGGACCATGCAAGCCTCCCTTGGCTTTCATTCAAAACAAGAAGGCCAATCTGACATTGGTCGATTCTAGCTGAAAGCTCACTGTGGCTGTGTATATGTACGATAACGTTTCATTTAAGACAATGGACTGATTTACTCGGTGTAAATAGCCTGATCGGAATACATACGCTGCTATGGGGGGAGGCTGTCGGGGTTGTCAGGTGGAAGTGTGATCGCTAGTTATCTCGTTTGACCCCGTTCACGGGACTCGCCGGCCGAGCCGCTGATTGTTCCTTGTATCTTAATTATGGCCAAACGCGGTGCGTGGATCCCGAGAGTCGTTGTAATTCTCCAAAATGCAGCATAGAATTCTTTTCAGCCACTCTGACTGTGAAAGATCGGTGAAGATAAGATGAAGAAATATGAATAATCTTAGGGCGCAGGACCATTCGTCATCTTCCAGACGGATGAATGATCCGGATAAAAGAGACCCAAGTGAGATACCCCGCCTTCTCGACTCGGGAAAACTTTACCGTGATATTCTGAATGGATAGTACGGCTGCATTGAGATAAAATCAATTGATAGGCTCGTGATTCTTAGAGCGGCTTAAAGTATTGATGATCAAGATCGTCCAGTGCCTGGATTATTAAGGAGAAGACCAAGCCTGTGTACCTGGGTTTAAATTATTCTCCACAGGCTAGTCGTGAACAGGAAATACAGACGCACAGGGGCCTCTCAAGCTTGTGATTTAGTGTAAATTGAACCTGGTCATGGATCGCACTAATCCGGGTTGTGAATTGATTATAGGTCTAACTTCCGTTGAATTCCGAGCTTAGCGAACCCCGCAACCTGTCCTGATGTGAGTCATTGGTCACGTGGAGTTCAGGGTCTACGCGATCTCCCGAGGAACAGGAATTTTTTTCGTTTTGTTCTGGATGTGCTGACTATTATGTGAGTCTTTTCACATGATGTGCTAGCACCCCGCTTAGATCGCGCTAGACCGAATATGGCCTGCCAAAGTCCCCATCATTTTCTCGATGTAGCTCTCGTAGATCACCCAAATTACCGTAATTACAGTTCTCGGCATCGCCATTGGCCCTCACGCAAAATAATTAGGTACTACCCGAAGATGAACACCCCGACTAGAGCCAAGGGGGAATGGAAACACGAGAAATCTGCGTGACTTTGTCGTTGTTGAGGACTGGTATTTCTGCCATCAGCAGTGATCCGCATTCCATGTCCATGTTGATTGGATTTCCCTGGATTTTGGGAAGGCCCCTTGCATCAGGAAAGGCATACTAGTTGAATAGCCATAAATCGGCTAATATCAAAGCGTATCTGCTGTGAGCGCATGAGTAATATAATAGTATGGAGATACGCCACAGGCCTGATAAACCGTGAGGGATGGCTGTCTTAGACCCCGATTGGAAAGGAGCTTGTCAATTTATTAGGCGAGAACATGTTAACTAAGGCGGTTAGCAAGGCAGAATCAGGGTGTCCTAAGTCATACCATCCAAACTAGCGCGCATTCGATTTCACCATGTAAATTTCAAGGGTAGTACGTTCTGAGTAATTATTCGGGCGGCCTGCATAGCCTTGTTCCTTGCGTCCCCATCCACTCATACACCGAGTAGTGGTAAGTCGCTCTAAACCTGGCAGCAACAGTAGCGGTTGCTGATAATGGGTTCTGTCGGGGGCAAAGCTTTCTTTGTTAGTAGCCAAATAGCTGTGGCCCCCCGGGCTGCGGATTCCCCCGCCCAGAAAATCCCTGCCAAGCCTCGGAAAATAATATCCCCTTGTCCAATATGTCTTAGCGGTCTCAGGTAAGCAGACCAACATCCGGTATAGAGACGGCTACTGGACTAATCCAAGAATTAGTGCGCCCTGTTGAGCGTTCCTAGCGATTCATTGGCTAAGACCCATGAGCCGGTGGTGACGGAACACTTGGCGCTATCGCTTGCGCTCTTGTCTCACTTCCGGCCCCAAACAAATGGGAATTGGAGGAGAAGAGGCTGAATGAGCAGAATCATGCATAAGATAAAATGATCCCCGTCGAGGCTCTGCGCGGGGGCTGTTGGATTGTCGGCGAGAATCATTATCATTGGTCGGGAACTTGACTTCCACCGATCTAAGTCATGCTGTCATTAGTGTTTTGTTTATCCCTGGTGGTTCTCATGGCTGGAGGCTTCTTACCAGGTACGTGTTCCTGCTCTACTCCCCCCTTTTCTTCCGATATGTACTTATTAGTGTCTCTTTCTAGAAGTCGTTGCCCAGGAGTGTTTTCCCGAAACTGGCGCCTTCTACTTTGGAACCGAAGTCGAGTATAAAAACCTCACCCAGCAGAAGTGTGCTACGCTCGTGGGAAGTGCATACTTCAGCAGCGAATTCACCAAAAACCTTGTTGTTCCCAAGATCACCAATGTCTCGCGGCAAATCAGCCTCAACGGTAATGACGTGGTAGAGTCCATAGAATTCCCGGATCTGGAATACGTGCACTCGCTGTATGCGGAAGGATTTTCTCGACTGAGAAGGGTCTCGATGCCAAAGGTTCGACATGTCCACACAATATCCTTTGAAGTAGGAAGTCCCGAAATTACGGTTGACTTGCCATCGCTTGAAAAGGTTGATGGCCAGCTTCGTATGATAGGTAATTGGACCAGGTAACATACCTTGTTTTCTTCACGTTTTTGATTATCTCAACTGAAAGTGGCGGCTGACATGGAATGCTAAAAATATCAAGCCTGGACTTCCCCAAGCTCTGTGAGGTCAACGACACTGCCTCGCTCTGCCAGCATCGTTATTGCCGTGGCGGGCCTGGCAAGCGCCCAATGGACATTTCCTTACCTCATCTGGAACAGGTCAATGAGCGGTTAGAGGTTGGAGGCAATATCGCGAGGTAGGTAGAATCCGCCGAGCTCCCAGATGGAATGCTGAGATTGCATGACGTGCAGCTTTTCCGTACCAACCCTGGCCAAAATCGGGGCCCATCATTTCGGAACCGAGTTCGGAGGGTTCTTAAGTATTGATAATTTCGGAGAGCCGTTGAACGTGAGCCTACCGCAGCTAACAGCGACCAACGGAGCGATGATCCGCGGCAATCTATCCGAGTTTGTTGCCACTTCTCTATCCCCTCGATACTGGGAACGTCTATTCTGATATGACTATTAGCGTGAATGTTCCATTGTTGCAAGATCCGCTGGAGGGATTTCAGGTTTTCGCCAAAAACCCACTAAGTCTCAATTTTCCCTTTGAAGATGGCCGTGATATCGTCATCATGGGACCCATTGATAGGTATGTAAAAGACCGTCTCTCTTTGCTACTCAGGCCATAGCTCCCCCCTGAAGTCTGGTTCACTAACTGGCTTTAATTCTTTCCGAAAAAGTGTCCACTTTCCAAAAATGAAGAATTTCACCAGTCTTTGGGTACACAGCGACAAGCCTTTTGACTGTGGCGCCTTGAAGAAGGAGATCGAGAAAACTGCCGGTGACATCGGAGAGCGTACCTTCCTTTGTTCTGGAAAGGATGTGCCGGGTCTCAGTACGGGAGCCAAGGCTGGTATGGGGACTGGAGTCGCCGCTGTTGGGGTTCTCGTGATCGCCCTAGGAACCTTCATGTAGGACGGAGGGATAAGGGGACCCTGCATTGGTCTCCTAACTGAAGCGGAATATTTGTTATACCATTTCTCTGTACATAATGCGCTGTATCACGTTAATAATTCATTCGGCAATGGATTATTATGTTATTTTGGTTTGCTTCTCCCGGTAAGAAGTCCCGAGAGACTTGTTAGTCATTGTTCGTTGATTCACAAGTCAAGCTTAGATAGCTCGGCTACCTCCATAGCTATGGCCCTTCTCCGGCCATCTTTTCCTATTGTCTCAGCAAATTCGTAGTTACAGTTTCTATGATGAAATCCATTCAAGGAAGGGATGCAAGAATGTTCCCAACTGGTCACCCTGTATTACGACCTCAGTTTTGCATTGCGGTCAGGAACTCTTTCAGCATTTGTCAGTCCTTGATCCATGGCCCACCTTGACTAATTAGCATGGCTACTGGTGGAAATCGTAGGAGAAGAGCATACTGACAGAAAATTTGTCCGAGTGAATTGACCCACGCTGGTGCTGAATGACGTGATAGAGCAAACGCACACACAAGTATTGCATGATACTCCAACGTCATGTTGAGCGTGCTTACTCTCTCCATTTGCTAGAAAAGCGTTGGCGGTCGGAGAGGCCGGCTCACTTGGTCTTTTGGTAGTGTGATTCTTGATAGTAAGGGCCTACCACTCTGTGATATTTCATACACTAAAAATCACGTAATTTCGATACTTATAAGACATTGGGCAGAAGATTGTTATGTATGCGCTAGGCCGAACCAAGAGGCTACTTTGTACACATAGGGAACTGTTCGCAATCTAATAAAGAGCGAAACATGCCACTGATTAAAAGGACAGAATATGTCAAGCAGCTGCGTGATTCTCTTTCCCTTCCTCCGTCAAACATTGAGTGTTGACTTCGTCAAACCTATTGTGAAGTTCGTTTCATGCCCACTGCCTCGCCGATCAAGTGGGGCCGAAACCGCGCCGTTCCTGATCCTGAGTTGCACAGGCAACTAAACGCCCGGTAGCTAGCTAGCTGACAAATCGGTCCTGAATCAGGACACATCAGTAGTACATGATAACAGTGACAATTCATGTGGCCTACGAGCAGTTATACTAGTCACAGCATCGTAAATTCTATGCTATCACGTGATAAGAAAGACAACTCCTACACCCTACGAGCAGAAATACTTAAGCAGCAGGAATATATATTTAACGAACGGAATTCAGCACTAATGTGTTCCGATTCAGAACCGATTTGTCAGCTAGATACCCGGCGTTCAAATGTCTGTCAACTGAGGTTTCGGCCCCAATTGATCGACGAGGCAAGGGCATGAAACGAACTTCATTATAGGTTGACGAAATCAACACTCGAAGTTTGACGGAGGAAGGGAAGAGAATCTTTTGACTTACAATATATTTGGTGAATGGTAATCTATTTGGTAATTTGCCATAGCTAAAGTTGTATAATTAGAACACTATCAAATACCACTAGTAATATTGAATATCTTGCATATAATTTATGCAAATTTGGGGGCTAAATGGGCCAAATGGGCCAGCCCATGGGCCGCCAAGAAAACCCATGGGCCGGCCCATGTACAGGTCTAGGATGAACACGGCAGCAAATGGCGCGACAAGAAACATATATATCCGACAGAAGTCAATAATACTTCGAATCCAAGTCTACACTAGTAGGCAGCGTTGTTCACATTGGCGCGTGGCTACGTGACATCTGGGTAGTGAATTGGATCACACCGCGACAGGATTAAGAAAGCAAGATATTACTGTATTTGCTTGACCTATCGTACTCTACTCTATGAAAGTTGATGCTTACTTATGCTCAATTCTCTCTCAAGGAATGCTTAGTGAAAAGGAATCATAACGGCGGAAAATAGTTCTGAAGATACTATTCAAGAGGATTTCCCTGGGTGATAAGATTCGCAGAGATAGATATTCGTCGATTTCTGCGTTAATTTCAAATCAGGCTGTGTTCCGGTTTGGGCATGGCTTTGGCCTGGAAGCCTGATGATACGTCAGGCCAAAGTAATGAGAGCGGAGACCAAGGCGGTCAAATTTGGCCCTGTTCCTGCAGTGGGTGCCGCAGTGGGTGCCGCTTGGAGGGTGCCGCTTGGAGGGTGCCGCTTGGAGGGTGCCCCATAGACTGCAAACTGGGGCCACCCGGACTAATAGGAAACGCACGTGAGAGAAGCCTCGACCCTCAAGAACGTTGTATAACGGTCTTTCACCAGGCACTCTTTTCTGAGGATTCATTTTTGAACAGTACTTCACCACCTACATTAGTAAGGCCACCTAATAGACGACCGTACGTAGACCTGTGTTTTTTTCGAATTCTCTTGGCTATTATGTATTGAGCAGCGTTGAATTGATGAAAGTAATCAGTAAAAGATAAGACCATCAATATGCGCAGCAACTAATCAGCGTTAAAAAAAAAAAAAGGTAAAGGGAATTGCTACGGCGCAACACGCCTGACCGCGGTGTCTACATTACAGTAATTTCGCTGGCGGTCAGCAAATCTCTCTCTCGGCCGGGTGAACTATATCCCAAGAGGCTGCAAATTGTCTTTCTACTCCACGTCGAAGGGCTGAGGCCAGTAGAATCAGGAGGGGGATGTACGAATATTAGCTCAAAATAAGCTCAAAAAATTCCATTTTCGAACAGCTTTTATGGAGTCGTTCAACAACTATTTGCTAAGGCCTCTAAAGATTCTGTGCTTGAAGTCAATCAACGTTCAAAAGGTCACAGTCCGCAGATATATTACAGTCAACTCTCACTTATTGCACACCCTCCCATCCAAGGAAAATCATGTGCAATAAGCGGGAGGTGCAATAAGTGAGAGGATGACATAATCAATAAATTAGCTAGCCCTTAGCCCCATTGCCTATTTAGGCTTCCATCCCATATCCTCTAGGGTCACCTGACGCTTCTCCTCGACCTGAATCCTGCCAAACTCGCTGATTAAGCTCTCAACCTGACGTATATGGTCTGATGTGCTCTTTTCCTTGCTTCCAACCTATAGTAATATATCCTGTAGATGACCCATTATATCAGAATTGGACAGAATCTCTGGTGGAGGCCCATTTTCTTCAATATCTTGTGCTTCCGAGCTCTCTATATCAATATATATATCTTGCCCATCAGTCTCATCTTCATATATAATATCTTCCTCTATAGGGTTCAAAAATTGATCAAATGGTATGATATCATTATGACCAAGCTTCTCAACTGCTTCATTATATAGAGCTTGAACCTCACTAGTTAACCCTGGCTCAGGAATTGGTTGAAAACCAGCTTCTATCTCATCTTGGATAGCTTTGGTCTCATCTTCAGAACGTATTAAAGTGCTTTTTTTGAAGCAATTCTCAATCGTTTGATCTGATATTGAGCTCTTCCAAACCTGGGTTAACCAAAAGAGTGTATAAGATATATTCATACGATCTTGTGGATCAAGACCTCGATCAAGGATAGCAATCATCCAGCGTATCCATTTCTTCCGATAATAGTGCTTCAAATTTTGAATAATCCCTTGATCTAGAGGTTGATATATAGAAGTTGCGTTTGCGGGGAAAAAAAGAACCCTAATATGAGCAGGTGGTGGGATAGACTTCAGACCAGCAATATGTGGAGAGGCATTATCCAAAAGCAATAATGCTTTCTTATGTATAGGAATACGCCTATAAAAAGCATATAACCATTCCCTCATAATGTCTTGACGCATCCACGCCTTCTTATTCCAACGCCAGACACATCCTAGAGCTTGGAAATTGACTCCCCGGAGCGCACGTGGTGTTTTTGCAGTTCTAATTAACCATAAAGGTAATCGGTCTGATCCATCTGCATTTGTTGTAACGACAAGAGATATTCTAGTCTTATCTTTCTTCTTTCCAGCAATTTTTCCATGGGAAAGACCCCCATTTGGCATCTGTCTCCAGAATAGGCCAGTTTCATCCATATTATATATCTCAGATGGTTCATATTGATCGCATATCGTACGAATTTCTTTCATATGATTGTGTACAGAAGATGGGACTGAAGCAGCTTCTCCATGGAAAGTATGATATCGAAGATTATGCCGGTTTTTGAAGCGTGTAAGCCAACCCTCTGAGAAAGCAGGTTTTTGTTGATCTCGATATTCAGGGATCTGAGACCAAAGCTCGTTTGCTTTGATCTGGATCAAAGGGCCAGTGATTGGAAACCCTGATTCAATATGCTTATTCACCCAATTCGAAAGCTTCTGGTCTAGAATAGGCCAGAAAGATGAAGAAAATCGTGAATTTGCCTTAGTAAGCCCTATATCAAGATAATCATATTGAGATGATAGAATTCTTGAGACCGTTGTACGATTAATCTTATGTTTAAATTAGGACAAAAACCAATCTACACACGCGGATTGGGTTGGTCTAGGGCTAGAATTAGACCAAAAGGCACGTAATGCCTGCTTTTGGGCATCTGATATGCCTAATCGAGCACGCTTTGCTGGTGGTAGAGCAGCTTGTGTAGCTGGTCTGACAGTTGGAAGAGGTGGAAGATCGGAGATTTCAGGCATTCTGATTGGTCGATATGACTGACTAAGCGGATGACTCAGCAAATATGGGATGAAAATTGTGTGCAAAGGGTGAGTGTGCTAAAAGTGGGAGTTTTGTATGTAAAATCAAGAAAAAGTGGGTCCGTCCAAGCGAATTGTGTGCTATAAGCGGGAGTGTGCTAAGAGCGGGTGTGCAATAAGTGAGAGTTGACTGTATGTAAAAAACTAGCTCTTTTATAACATATGATCAAAATTCAGAATACTTAAAAATTAGTCAAGTTAGGCTTTTCATGTTCTACTGACCTAAAGATGCAGCATAATCTCTCTAAGTCAAATATATATTTCTGCGATAACTATACTCGATTACAAAAACTAATCACAACACACAGTAAATCTCGCCACCAATGTCCAAAATCCAACTTTGAACTTGAATTTTTTGTAGACTAATATTTTATCTTTTAGAATACCGCTCTATTTCA